ACCTCGCTATAGTGACTTAACTCACGCTACAACGACACAAAACGAGACAAAAACTTCTTAGAATAATTATAATTCCTTATTTTTACAACCCACCACGCTCAGAAAATACCTTTCACGATAAGGTTAATTTTTGTAGATCTACTTATCCTAATTTAAAACAAAATAAGTCACTTATGATCTCCCTCGAGCTAATGTTTATACAGTCATTTCTCAAGTCTTTTTCAATAGTTTATAGCCAATCTGATGAACTTGTGACACTATTACCATATCCACAACGAAACGAATTAAGTCACGCGTCTCTGAACCATATTATTCACCCCCACTGAAGATATCTCTTTAGCATTTGCAATCAATATAATATTCTTTCACTCAACTCTCTCTTAAAGTTGCACTCATCCCAGTACTTTTCTTCATTTTGACTCTAGCTCTTTTAAATTCTATTTGATTGGAATTCCACCATCTCTTAAAAAATTTCCATACGAACACATTATTCACCAAATATTGAAAAATTACAACCTGAGATAATCGCAAGTCATAAATTACTACACCAAGTTCACTTAGTCACAATCTTAATATATTGTTGCATCTTCTCACCATATACTACGAACTCATATTATCATTATGTTCAGTCTTCCAAGACTATCACTACAAATCATCATTTTCATTGACATATCCCTAAATTTAAGGTATACTCGTCAAATTCAAAGGAGTAACACAATTAAAAAAAATTGTATGCACTTTCTAAATTTTTTTATTGCTTTTACCCAAGTATACTCAATGGGACTTTCTTTATGCATAAGCTTACCATTTTGATATTAGTCCACTCCCTTATGTCTTAAGATAAAATCATCAGTCCTCATACTACCCCTTTTCTTCTTAACAACAAGGCAGAATCACCTCACGGAAAAACACTAGGGGAAATGAAATCTTTATCAAGAAGCATTTGAATTTGAGCTTTTAAGCTCTCTCAATTCTAAAACCACAATAGTAGACTCAATAAAGGGGGATTCGACTTCCCATCCCAAACATGAGTCAATTACGCCAAACAATTCTTCCCTACCAATTTTCTAGCCCGAAAGAAGGATATGATCTTAGCTAGCTTAGGCTTGTACACCTCTTTCCACTCTAATCTTTCCTTAACGAGGATCTCTAAAGTTACCGACTTAGCATTACCAGTAATCCCAATATAATAAGGGGACAACTAATTCATGCCTAACATTATATCAAGTTAGTCATATCCAATATAATCAAATCAACCCAAGTTTGAAATTCCATAAACACAGTAGGATAAACACGATATACAAGGATGACTATGACTGACCTTTCAACTATGGTAGAAACATGGATGATGAGATCAAGTATATCAGCAATCACATCAAACCCCAAGGCAATTGAACTAACACCTACAAATAAGTAGTTACCATATTACACAACACACTTGTCATATGGTCACAAACAAGCATAGTATCTATGACCCTTACACCAGACACTTCAGCCTCAGTCTTGCTTGAGAACACCTAAAATTGATCCATGTCAGCTTGACGGGCAACCTCGTCATATGCCCAAATTCTTCACAATTTTTACACACTTTATAACTTATATTCGATTATTAAACACTGACGTACAATTAGAGGTCCATAATTATGACTAGGAAAATAGGGAAAACTGGCGAGGTTCTGTCTCCCTTCGTCCCGCTCTAGAAGGATAAATCTTGTTGTAGCGGCATCTCTCCAGCGAGAACAATCCTGTTGTAGCGGCTCTGACGGGACCAGAACCCAAGCCAAAAAGTTTCTAGTTTTTTTTTTCTATTTTCTCTAATTTCACCAAGGTTCCATCTTTACTTAGGACCTTTGGAATAATTCTCATAGCTAGGACAATCATTAGTTACTCCGAGTTAATCTTAACGATGTATATTCCACAATTTTCATTACGTTACATTCAACAGTACAACTCATTCATTCCAAGAAAAACCAAGACATTCACACGATTAATTATTAAATTGTCAAAAACCAAATCAAGATTCCTCTTTTACAAACCACACCGTAATTTATGTAGCCCCTTGCGCCTAATCTCATGATGATTTCCTTTTATAACAAGTCCACAACACTCAAGCGGTTACAACCAACACATTTTCAACATTTAGACCAACACATTGCACATATCACATTTAGTCAAACAATACTGGGCACCCAATCATATAAAAGCATTCAAGTAATACAACCTTTACATTCATAGTTATTTCAGACAACTAGAAGCACACATTCACTGTTCCAAATTACAATTCACAGATAAGTCCAAAATTTTATTTAATTAGTTCATTCCACAAATGACCATCAGTCATGCCTTATACTAATTTGAACCTTCATAATTCCAATTAACTTGTTTGTGTTCTATGTAATTCACTTCGTTGAGATATCAATTGGACGTAACTCATACCACAAGCGACAGTAGTAGCTAGCGAGTCCCACAAAACTGCTAATTTCAATAATAGAACTTGGTCGAGCCCAATTCTTAATCGCCTCAATCTTTAACTGATGGTAACCAGACCTTAATCAATCTTAGAAAAAATCGATATACCTTGAATTGGTCAAATAGGTTGTCTATCCGAGGCGATGGATATTTGTTTCAATGATAACCCTATTCAACTTTCAGTAGTCTACACAATCCTCTCTTGCTAGCGATGTTGTTACCACTTATGTTGCTCTAATTTGGACCATAGAATGGAGGAGGAAATATAACAATTCTGTAGTCAAGATAACCCTTCAACAGCCCAAATCATCTAACAAACATTCAACAGCAACAAATCTGAGCCCAATTCTCTTTAATACCAAGTTTAGAATCTTTCAATAACGATACAACAATAATACACATCAACACCAATGTCTAACCCATCCTTGTACATCTTCTTCACTCAAAAATAAACGAAGCAACAACAAATTCCAACGCAACTGAAACACCCCCCCCCCCCCTGTGGAAAATCAGCCAGGAAAATCGAAAAAAAATTGCAACTCTGACCAGCCATAGAGCAGACGGCAAAGTGACAGTAAACAACGGAGGTACAACTACTTCTCCGCGTCTTCCTCTTTTCTGCTCTGCACAACTTTTCACCTACAGTGCCCATACTCGTCTTGTCTCCATACAACTACGGAGGTACTTCTTTTGCTTGCTTTGATCTATTGCGTTATTTATCTGCTTATCTGGATGTGGTGAAATCTCTGTCAAACATATAAGTATTAGTTCACTGTTGCAATGAGTTGTGCCCCTTTTTCTTAATCATTTTTCTCTTTGATTTTCTTATGTTAATGATGAAGTTTGGGGTTTGATGTTTTGAGTTCATCATCACATGTTAATTTACTCATTCTTGCTTTATTTGTGATTATTTTATTCAATTCTCCTTTAATTACAAGTTGGATTGCCTATTAATTTAGAAGCTTTTCTGGTAGTTTGTTGATTTCTAAAAGATGAATTGTGAATATTAAGAGTCATATTTAGATACACTAAAAATGATAGTTTTCCACTATAGATTTCATGTCTTTGTGCCATTTTGTTTAGCAACCAATTCATTTTGTTCACTGTTGACTTCTCTTTACACCATGCAGTTAATATTATATATTTTCATCTAGTCAAAAGGTTTTCTACAATGACCTATCCAATTCTTAATTAATTGTCGCAATTATATCTCCTTTTGGATACAATATTAACACCTGTCTAGAAGCATATTAGTTTGAAATTATGTTCTTATTTCATACAATAATGTGTTTATCTTCATCATAAGTTAATCATTTGATCATGTGTTCGTTGGGAGCTCTTATTTTTTTTTTCTAATTCTTTTCTTTTACTTTGTGTGCATGTGAATCTCTTTCGAGTCCATTGTGGACTTATCTATCTTGCATTTCTGAGTTGAGCCATAATGGCTCGATCTCTATCTTCCCTATTTCTCGAGTCAACCCCCTATGCATGTGGAAGTTGTTATAGGCCCTAGAGACCACCATACTATTGGAAATAATTCAAAAGCCCAAGAAATGAGTTGTATACATAATGTATACAATATGTATACAGCGATCTATATGTTCAGGAACATATATGTTGACAAAAATGAAGATACAGGTTGGAGGCATTAGAACAGGCTGTATACAGTTGATATACAGGAAAAAGGCTTAGAAACGATCTGTATATATCAATATACACTTGTTGTATACAAAAGTTTTCAAAGGTTTAAATAGGGCCAGAACCCAAATTAGCAGCCTGAAAAGCCCAAGTCCATATTACCTCTTCATTTATTTGATTGCATTTATTTATTTGTTCTTTTACCCTTTATTTGCTTCATAATAATTTAATTAAATTTCCCAAAAGATATATATATATATATATATATATATATATATATATATATATATATATATATATATATATATATATATATATATATATATATATTCTTGACATCTTACTTTATTTTTTTAAAACAGTGAAGAATTCGAATTTGAGGTAAAGCCTTTGAATTTATAGTCAAAGACTTCTTGATGAAATAAATGGGAAAATACCATTTTGTCTTTATTCAAAATAAGACCAAAAAAAAAAGAGAAAAGAAAAGATATTTCCATAAAAAAAAATATATCAATCACATATCCACCTATCATCGTTGGCTTAATGATAAAAATATAATCTGGTTTGACTTGATACAAAATTTAAGTAAATAAAGAAGACTTTTAAATATATATATGACTAAAAATTTAAGTATTTGATAGTACAAATTTATTTAAGTATATAGATAAAAGTTTCGAAGCGAAACCAAGTTTTATTGCCATAAACTTCACTCTTACACACCATTACAACAAGTAATAATTAGCTTCCTCACCCAAAAGAAACTAAAACACCCCCCTTTGACCTAAATTACACAAACCAAACCTTAAGTTAAAAGAAGAAACAACCTAATTTAAATTAAACAACATTAATTAATTTGAGAAAAATCTCAAATCAACTAATGATTATTAGTAATACTACATATCCCTAACAGCAAACTCATTACGATTCTTAACAACAATATCATACATGTGCATGGACCTGAGGTTGTTGAAGTCGTTTGGTAGAGAAATAAGATGAACAGTTGATCTTTTATGGTACTGAAGAAGGTCAGGGTCATCATAGTACCTCTCCCATCCAAGAGAGTACAGTTTCCTTTCAAGTACTGCATATGATGTTATTACTTCATTACTAGAAAGGTGCACAAGCACTTTACGACGACCCGTCGCACCGTGAAAGTCACCGAGGTTCTCAACTAGCCTCACTACTCCATTCTTGATTTTCCAAACACCAGACATGTTTCAAAAAATATGAATATGAAACTAGTGAGTGAGTATTGTGTGTGAGTTTGAAGATAAGTGTGAAGGGGTTTTTATACGGGTTTCTATGTAATAAAAAATACATTAGGTGGCAAAAAGTATTTTCTTTCTTATTTAATAAAATTGATGATGATTAATAGGTAGGATTTAGAATTATACTAACTTATCGTACGCTCATAAGATTAAAGAAAAAGAAAGGGAGAATATTTATATGGCCACAAGATACCCTAATTTACCTGTCACGACCCAAAACGGACCGCGAGTGGCACCCACATTTATCTTCCTATGTGAGCGAACCAACCAATCTAAACCCAACATTTCAATATAATGACGGAATATAATGCGGAAGACTTAACCTCATTAATGAAAATCAATTAAATAACTTCTAAAAACTCAACAACTATTATTATCCCCAAAATCTGGAAGTCATCATCATAAGAACATCTATCCTCAAATTACTAAAGCTAAGAGTATCTAGAAAGCTAGAATAAATAAAAGCTAGTTCATGCCGGAACTTCAAGGCATCGAGACATGAAGAAGAAGATCCAGTCCAAGCTAGAAGCGTTAGCTCACCCTGAAATCCGGTGTAATGAAGATCGGCTAGAGTTGCGGTTGAGTTAAAGACGACGGCACGTTTGCTGCACTCCACAAATAACAAGGAAAGAAACATACAAGTAGGGGTCAGTACAAAACACGATCATCGGCCAACTCAAAATAGAAAGCAATATATATCAAGTAATAATATGAAATCAACTACATTACTCAACATGTAGCAACAACAAGTACTATGATCGTTAATAAGTACCGCCAAGTTCACACATGAGGACTCAAGCCTCAATACCATACTCATTTGGGAATTAGGTTCATTAGATTGAGTATATTAACATCTTTCAAGATTCATCACCTTTATTCTTGTGTCGGTACGTGACACTCCGCTCCCCTACTACTATGTGTCGGAACGTGACACTCCGATCCCCTAATTCTACGTGTCGGTTCGTGACAACCGATCCCCTAATTCTATGTGTCGGTTCGTGACACCCGATCCACTAATTCTACATGTCGGTTCGTGACACCCGATCCCCTAATTCTACGTGTCGGTTCGTGACACCCGATCCCCTAATTCTACGTGTCGGTTCGTGACACCCGATCCCCTAATTCTACGTGTCGGTTCGTGACACCCGATCCCCTAATTCTACGTGTCGGTTCGTGACACCCGATCCCCTAATTCTACGTGTCAGTTCGTGACACCCGATCCCCTAATTCTACGTGTCGGTTCGTGACACCCGATCCTCTAATTCTACGTGTCGGTTCGTGACACCCGCTCCACTAATCTCATTCTATTAATTCCTCAAGCCTTCTTTTATACCAAGGCATCATCAATCTCATTACTTTAGTTCATCAAGCCTTCTTTTATACCAAGGCATCATCATTAACAAGGGGTTTCCAAGATTTGGGATTCAATAGCTTCATCATGCTTATTTCATCACAATTATATAATCACATTCATGCAAGCATACGATTAAGCATATAGAAGACTTTACAATACAACCCAACACATATCATTCGCTATTAAGAGTTAACTACGAATAGCATAAAAACCATAACCTACCTCCAACGAAGATTCGTGATCAAGCAAGCAATTTTCCCAAAGCTTTGTTATCCTCTTCGTTCCTCTCTCTCTTGATCGATTCTCTCTCTCTTGTTCTTTCTATTTTTCTTATTCAAACCCTCTTTCTTTTACCCTAATTAACATATAATTAAGTATAAAAGATGACAAAATAACCCACTAATTAATTTAAGGTTATCTCCTTTAACCCTCAAGAAATTGGATTATTAATATTTGACCACTAACTTTATAATTATAAGCAGGAATAGTCCAAAACGCCCCTTAAACCATTTAAAGAAATCCGACTCAGCCTGGGATTACGCAGTCTGTGACGGGCCGTCGTGCCGGCGACGATCCGTCCTGATGAGTCGTCACAGATTTCAGAGACTGAAATTTACTGAAGGATCTGTGACGGCTCGTCACGCCTGTGACGGTCCGTCCTGCCATTCCGTCACGAAGTTCAAAGAGTCGATTTCAGTACCCAAATTTCAGAATTCTAAGTGTTTTGGAACGAGACCCCCTCGACGGTCCGTCGTGCCCATGACGGTCCGTCGTGGGATCCGTCGTCTCAGCCAGTTTTTCCAGAAATAAAATCTGCTGCTCAAAATGACTAAACAGGTCGTTACATTACCCTATTCAAACCTAATTCTTTGATTAATGGGTTCCAAGCATAATTCTTTAATTTGTTTAGTGCTAAGAACAATCTTATATTCTAATATCTATTGTTTGCATGATCAACCCTTCACAAATAGGAAGAACTAAATAAATTAAAAGATATTTTTGGGAAGGCTTAAGTCATATGCGGCCTCTTAAAGTTGTCCGTATATTTCACTTAGACACCTCAATTTAGCCTCATACCTATTGAACACTTCAACCTTAACAAATTTACACCAATTTAACACAAAATGATAGTCAAATAAAAGAGAAATATGCGTACATTTCAAACGCTCAAACATGACAAATGGACCAAAGAAGTGATGACACATGGCAATTGGATTAATTTTTAAAATTTTTTTATTTAAATAATCAAAAAGCAATTTAAGAAAACAAAAATTGAATAAATCCACCCCACCCCCACCCCAGCCAACCGGCCACCCAACATTCTTCTTCTCGTCGACTTGAACTGCAACCTCCATACTTCTTCTTCTTCGTTTCCTTTTCACTGGCCCCGGCGTTTCAACACTAGTCAACAATAGCCTCCAGCCTTTTCTTCTGCTCCATTGAATTTTATCCATATTTCACCATTATTGTCAATCTAAGCTAATTCCTCATTCACCTTTCATTTTGATTGCATCAAAACCTTCTATTCATTATCTTTTATCTTCTTTTCACAAATAATTATTTATAATAAATTACAAGAAAAAATAATTTTTTACAGAAAAGATAATCAATTGCTTCATCGAAATATTATTTTTATTGAAACAATGAAACTTTGCCAAAATATTTGAGACTTTAATTAGATTTACATAGAAAAAGAAAAAACACAAGAAGAATTTGAGGGATTGGAGAAAAGATGGATGGGGTGGGTGTGGATATAGAAAGAGATCAGAGAAGTTGCAGAAAGGTATGTGGAAGAAGGTCATTTTTTTAATTTAAAATTAATTATTTTTATGCATTATTTATTAATTAGGTCTATTAATTGAAAAGAAAAAAAAAGATCATTTCAAATGGTTTCACGCGCTTGGGGACCGTGAATACACATTTTTTGCCACATAAGTCATTTGTGTCCAATAGGAACTGTTTTTGAACACATAAGGTGTTCAATAGGTATGAGGCTAAATTGAGGTGTCTAAGTGAAATATACGGACAACTTTAAGGGGCCGCATATGACTTAAGCCTTTTGGGAAGTTTAATTTGTCCCATCTCATGTTGATGTTTAATCCTTAATTAATGTATAATAACAATATAAAAAAGTTTCTCTAGATCAATGAGAAATTTGTTTTATGATACGTGATATTCTCGCCCATTTTTCATTGAACTAGCTCAATGGGAAACGTATGTGTCACGATTCATACCGTCATGATTGGCGCTCACACTAACTCTCTGGTGGGAGAACCATAACTACAGCTCAACTAAACAATTTAAACTACGGAAGCAAGTTAAATAAACTAAATAATTAAGTTCTCATAGTTTAAACAACTAAACAATGCACACATACAATTCCTATATAGAACTTGAAAGTCAATGTTCCAAAACTCTAACAACGACAAATCTAAGAACAAGGGGTATAACCCCAAAAAGTAAACAACACCTTAACAATAATTGGAGTCCAAAAAGACTGGACTTAAGCAAAAATAACTCAAGACAGCCCGGAAGAACTAGCTCACCCTTGAATTCGAAACGGTCATTGGTCTTCTAAACGAGGTATATCAATAGCCGCTAGAAGATGCCCTGTACTCAACAATGATAAGAGCAAAAGTAGAATTAATACACAACCACAGTGTACTGATAGAATCACACGGCTATCCCAATAAGTGAAACATATATAAGTAATTACAACAATATAACCACGTAACATACTCTCGACACCCAATTTTAACGCTCCACAATATAAATTAATCATCGAGCTTCTTCAATTTCAAACAATTTAAAAGACTTAGTTTTATAAAATTTTAAATAAATAAATAAATATAGTTTGCAAGTTATTTTATATAGTTATATCATTTTTATAATTTTTAAATAATAATCAGTATATTTTATGAATATTTAAAAAATCAATCTCAAAAGATTATATTTCTTATATACTTGAGTATTTTAGTTTAATCCATAGTTAATATTTAAGTTAGGTTTATATTTTTGAATTATTAGTTTATATTTAAGTTAATTATTTTATTTTCTTTAAAAATAAGAAGCTCATTAATTAATTAACATGGATTCATCTTATCTAAATTTTAATCAAATTTCCTAAATCAAATATTTGGCGGACTTATAAAATTTTACTCTTCCTTAATCTCAATTTTCAGCCCATATATACATTTTTAACAGCAAAAACTCTGCCCAAAACCCCATTCCAATTACAATTAATCCAGCCCAACCCATTTTTTCCTCACAAGGAAACCCATTTCAACAATAAAGCATCAATTCATCCGACCCAATGCCTCAATACTAAAGAAATCCATCAGCAAAGCAATACAACAGCAATAACATCGACTAGGGGCGTACAAAATCGAATCGAAAAATCAAACCATACAGCGAATCAAAAAAGAAATTCGACTAGTCCGACATAATATATGTAATCTTAAAATTTTATTTTATACATAAAAATATTTACTTTGATATAATTTTAAAATATTTCTTATATATTTCATAGTTTTTATCTTTTAATATATTATTTTAAGTTTAAAACTTAGAATTCGGAATTATCCAATAGACATTA